CATTAAGTACGTTACTCGCCGTTGATGACATGGAATCATACAAAGGGCAATCGACCCCTTCCATAGCTTGCATCGTAATCCACGGTCCAGAGAGTGCATCGTCTCAATTCGACCATACGGTAGTAAGATCACACACGGAAAACTAGACTTGCTGCGGCTCTCAATTACACCGCTGGGCCCTGGCTGAAGGAGCTCGAAGAGCAAACGATCGCCCTCTTGGAACCCAACAGCGTCAACATGAATCTGACCGTGCGGGGTCGCCTCAAGAGCCAGCGCGTGTCCATGGCCGACACCCCCGACAGCGCCATATACTTGGTCAAGTGGAACGAGAACCGCAGCATCGGCATCCAGCTGCGCGAGTGCCGCCTCGCCAAGGGCGTGTACCCCATGGTCGTGCTCGTGTGTCGGAATCCGTGCTGCGACGCGCTGCGGCACGTGCACATCGGCGACCTCCGCGTAGAAATCAATGGCCGAGACACGGCCATGATGAGCATCAAGAAGACAGTTTGTGAAAACGTGCACCAAGACCGCCTTGCTCAAGTTTAAACGAGGCCCTGGCATCTCCGGTCCAGGCTCAGTGCTTTGTTCGTGTCGGTAGTACTGGGCGTCCCGGGCGTGTTGGGCGTGGCATGTCGTCACAGTGCCCTTCGGCACGAAGGAACAGGTTGGAGTTGGCGCATTGAGCAATTTGAAAGAAGCAGGGGTTGGCGTAGCTGAAACCATCCGAGCCGCATACCAAGTTGATGTCGCGGTGGCATGCAGTGTTGGGCCCAAATCCAGCGCATTGTTCCTTCGTAGGGCGCTGGCCTGACGCAGGCATCACGAAGGCAAGGACGACGGTGAGAAGAACAAGCATGGTCTGTTCGATAGGCCAGGTCGTCTCAAGGACTTCAAACCATAGATGGAATGTTTAGTGCTCCGAAGATTGAGACAGAGCCATGCGATATGATGACCAAGGCTTACTACAGTAGTATCGACCAGGGTGAACAAAATGCCGATATTGAACTTCAAAACAATCGATCTCGGTATTTGTATCGGGGTCCGCTGAAGTCCATCTCGGTGAACCACTATTTTTGAGAAAAAATTGGATATGTATAGAGCAAGCAATACGTGTATTTACTAGTAGGCGAACTTCTTAAATTCCCTCGTACCAATGACCGGTCGAGAACCTGGGTTCGGTGGTCAAGTTGACGAAATCGTAGGGAGCTGGTCCTACGATTTTCATATCCAATGAGATCTCAAGAAAACCACAAATTGCCAATCCTCCTCTATCGTACACGTCACATGCCAAAAGGGAATGTGAGGCGTCCTAATGGTAATGCCATTGATAGCACTAGGTATGTCACGTTAGCAGTGCGCAAGTTGTGCTGCGTTGTATTAGTACGTAGTAGGAAGGAGCGATCGTTATGGAAGAGTTATATGTAGTGATATGTTGTTAGTCGAGCTGGACGCGTTTGCGAATATTAAGACTTTATGGAAATTCTTACTACATACTGTAGTATGTGGGCCAAAAGCACACAAGAGAAGTAACGTTACTGTAAGTATATCTCTGTTATGAAGCAAGTATTGATTTATTTACGGGTCAAGTTGTTGACAGTGGCCAATCTACATTTCTCCAATTCAAGTGCACACAAGTGCATAAATTCTACTTCAAGTGCACACATGTGCATAAATTCTACTTTAAGTACTTCAGTTCTTTGAATTCGTAGGGAGATTGCCTACGATTTCATATTTAACCAATGAAAACACCTGTGTACAGTGATTGGATAATTCAATCACAAATCCGTGCTCATCACGAAACACTATTGAGGATAGTCCTTGGCAATGCAGGCTGCATGATACGAGTGCAATTATGCGTCGATGGAATATCATAGTCATGTACTACGGTAGTAGTTTCGACATCAACGTTGACTGTAGTAAGCATCCATTCCGTCACCACGACCTTGCCCGCTTGAAAGGCATCAGCTACCGTCGGACGACTCCAACGTGCCTCTGCATGGAGTAATGTAATGCCATACATACTACATACCGTACGTTTGGGCGAAAGCGCTTTCCCGAAATTGAAGGAGCCTCCGCCAATTCAAAACATTATTAACTACGGAATAGCCCAGTACATCCACGACAATGTCCTGCGTGTACTGGGCTAGGTTGCATACCAATACGTGGAGTATTGCATGAGGAGTAGCTTCCTTCATTTTCGAATGCAGCATAGATTTCATGATTTTCATCTCTTCAACACCATCCAACCAAAAACTAATTTCGACCGTATTATTTTACAGAATGTAATAATAACTTTTTCTGGTTGGACTGAAGTGGTACTTCGAATACATACAGGCAAACGGATATGATTGTCTTATTTAAACCAATCCTTAGTTTGGCCCTAATTCCATAAATAAGTCATTCACAGTCAAATACTTCTTCTGTTCCACGTTACTGCCGACATTGAACTTCCCTTCGACCCAGTTATTTTCGGACCAAATTTAATGAATCCTACTATTTCTGAAAGAGAATAAAAATATAAAGGTAATGTCTATTGGCCGTAACGCGCAAATCAATCAATTTCATGCTGTACTTACTTTTGAATCGTCATCGGGCATCAGAAAAATATATAAAAATAATCGATTTGTTTAAATTATTACGGGCCTTGGTGCTGTGGCCACTAGTGGTGTGCCGTGCAATGGAGGACAGATATTAATACAACAAGCGCTTGAAGCTGCGGCCTTCGGAAAATTATCGTTAGGTGACACATAGGTACTTTATGCATGAACCTCACCAACCGCGCTTCATTTCTCGGTGTTCTTCACCGTGAACCCGAAGCGCTCGTGGCGCGTGTTCCTCCTGCCAAATGCATCATACTGTGGCCGTGAAATTTTGTTTTTGTCACAACTTCAGCCAATCATATCATTTTATTTTACAGATTAGCTAATCATATTCAAGTATAATGTCGGTAGTAACATGGAACAAATGCATTTTTCATATGTCGGTGGTAACATGGAACAGAGGAACTAATCGTGTTTCATGGTCTATTTGACAGGCATAAGTGTGCTAAAACCATTGTCAAACCAACATTGTGGGCCAACATTTCAATGAGCCCATCATTCCCGAGCAGACCAATATTCCCTGGAGACCCAGGGCACCCCGGGTTCCCTGGGTATCTTGGTTGCGTTTCAACAGTGGGATCGGATGTTGGAAGCGTTGCCGATTGCGTGTTAAGGGTGGGACTTGGTGCTGGAGATGTCATTGGTTGTTCCGAGATGCTGGTCATGGGTCTACACTTTCAGCAACAATCATGCCCTG